TCAAAAAAGCTGTCCAAGTGTCCGACCTTTATTAATGATCTACGCGAGTTCAAGTATCCACAAAGAAGCACTCAAAATCGATAAGGTGCTAGCTTCACCTTTTTCTAATTTATGTAGTGTTTTCTATAAAAAATAAATCTCAAGTAATTTTGCGACAATCTTAAAAGAGAAGGAAAGAGTGTGGCTTGCTAGGGTTTTGGAGAAAACTATTTTTTTCTATTTTTCTCTCTTGGCCGTGTGCCCTAATAATCCAAAGTTGGTGGGTCATAATTCTCATATGAAACATTTAATGATAAATTATATACTTTAACAAGATGAGTTGTTCAAGAAAAGTGTTGATGGAATCTTACTCCGATGTGTTAATACAAATGAGGCCTTAACAATAATGGTAGAAACTCATTTTGAACTTTGTGAATTACATCATATAGGTTATAAAAATGAGTTAGGTAATTTGATGTCGGGGTTTCTTTTGGCCATCGATGAGAAAAAATTGTATTGAAATGACGAAAGGATGCAATACATGCCAAAAATATGGTAATATTCCTAGAGTATATGCACTTGAGTTACATTCAATAATTAAACTATGACTATTTTGAGGATGGACAATGGATTTAATTGGAGAAATCAATCTATCATCAAACGCGTCCCATTCGTATATTATAGTCACCATTGACTATTTTACTATATGGGTAGAAGGAAAGCCTATGTGATCATTTAATCAAAATGATGTTATTCGTTTTGTTCAAGAAGACAACATTTATAGATTTGGCTTGCCATAAATAATTATTGTCGATCGAGCCTCGGTTTTTAATGGAGTCGAAATCCAAGAGTCCGTAAGGAAATTTGGTTTCAACATAATTAATTCGTCACCATATTATGCTTAATTTGCTAATGAGAAGGAAAAAGCGTCAAATAAAATCATTAAGGAGAACATCCAAAAAAGATTAGCAATAATCCTCAAAATTGACATGAGTTGTTACAAAACACTCTATGTGCTCATCGAATTGGTTCTAAACGAGTTTTGGGACAAGTCTATATCAACCGACCTATAGACATGATGCAATACTACCATTCGAGATTATAGCTAAATCTTTAATGGTAGAAAGAAAAAATGAGATGCCTAGAATAGATTACATAGATATCATGTTTGTTGAAATAGAATCTCCTAATTTGAAAAGAATCGAGGCACTTAACAAGATTCATATTCAAAAACGAGAGGATGGCACGAACTTATAATCGAAAGGTTAATTAAAAGCAAAAACATTTCGATTAAAGATTTAGTTTGAGTTATAATTTCAATTGAAAAACAAGACTATCTTCTTGGCAAATGGTCCCGTAAATAAGAAAGTCTTTTTCAAATTAAAGAAGTTTATTCGGGAATGCCTATAAGCTAGAAAGCTTATAAGGAGTCAAACATAATAGAGGTATTAATGACAAGTATTTAAAGTCTGTATATTCCTTCAATTTGGGAGACCAATAAAAAAGTTTTAAAATCTCAATTTTTAGAATTATGATGAATGAATAAAGAGTCTCAAAATTGAATCTAAAACTAAAAACAACCAAGTAATTTTTGAATAAATTGGAGTTTTAGTACAAAATTACTTCTTAGGTATCCTACTCCTAAGAATATCTAAAAAGGTTGCAAGTGTGCCAACAAGGTTTGATCGACTACGTCCTTATCGATGAGCAAAATCAAGCCTCGCCATCTAATTAAGACATTATTGAATTTTTTTTTTTTTTATGGAATTCTCAAGTGGAATATACCAATGGATTGTAGACTAAAATAAATTTTTTTAGAAAACTATATTTTTTTGTGTCTAGCTATTGATATATTTTTTCTATTTAAGTGCCCAATATTTTTTTTTTCCTATTTCAATCCCAAACCTTTTATTTTATTTTTTTCTATTTGAGTGCTCATAGCTACTTGAGAGTATAAAGTGCCGATGTGACAGGATTGACTCGTCATATGGTAGATCTCGTCGGATACGTTAGTAAAATTAAATTTCGAGTAAACTCGGATACCAAAATAAATAAAAAATCAAAACTTGGGTAGTCAACTATGAAAAATCAATGGTTAGGCACTATAACGAAAAAAAAATCGAAAGATTGGACACCAAAAAAACCTCTCTCAAATTTCAAAATGTTGTTCTTGGCAAGTTCTTTTCTTAAGCTCTGCAAAGTTGTCGGTAAATATTTTGATTCCTGTGATTTTCCCATTCATATTAAAGTGTTTTCCACATAACAATCTGGTGTCTTAATTCTTGATGATTGTTTATTACTTATGACTTGTTTAATTGATCATCAGAACACTAAATTCTTACATGGAAACCTGTTTGATATGGAAGGAAAGACCTCTGCATTTAAGTCCACTCAAACTTCCACTTTAACTAAATGCTTTCTGCATTTGTGTCAGCTTGCACAAATTTCACTTCTTACTTGCCCAACATGCTCTGATCCAAGAAGAGATGATGACTTTTGAAAAAAATTCTTCTTGGGTTTAAGGTTGAATTTGTTTTGGATGATTAATATCCCATTTTAGAGAAACTACCACTTACGGAAGATAGATGGCTCAATTTATTTATCTAGGACAAATCAAATTTCATGGGACACTACTTTAAATGTTAAAAATTAAGATGTTCAATAACAAAATAGCTCTGTTTTCAGTTTTTTTTTTTTTTTTTTCTCTCTCTCTTTTGCTTCTCTCTTATTAGCATCAACATATTTTCATTTTGGGGTTTGGCAAAAAACTCTGCCAACTTTTTATTTCCTCAAGTTACCACTAATATGCCAAGAGACACGATCCAAACAAAAAGCATTTAGATTTAGTACGGAACTTGTGCCAAGACCAAATTAAAGCGACACTTGTAGTTCAAATAAGCCATTGTATCTTGAAGAGGACGACTATAGTAAAAACTAAAAAGTATGAGTGTTCATTGGTATAAACCATAGTAAAAAGTATCTTCAACCATTTGACAATCCTACATATACAATCAATTGGTATATGTGCTTTGCTTGTTTAGTTTATAAAGGGAAACTATTATGAGAATAAAATAAAGGTAAAGGTTTTTTCTTTCTTTTATAAGAATAAAATAAAGATATGTTTTATTCTCTTCTCCTTTAATTTTTTATTTTGAGTTCTGATTAAATCCTTTATACATAATTTTTTTTTTTTTTGTATGTTCAGAGGTATATAAATTAATATATTCCAAGAAAGTGATTGTATAGCACTGTTTCTACTGCTTCTTTTTAGCTTAAGAACTTGAATCCGTATAAAATAAATTAATTAAAATTAATTTTATGTCAGTTTTTTTTTTTTTTCCATTTAGAACTTAAAATAATGTATTGCGTTTATTAAATCTTAGAAAGTAGTACTTTTATCGTACACACAAACTGATCATTGCTAGCTAGTCTTACCTTTCACAAAATCATGTACTCTGCAGGCAGCTATCGTGATTCACATTGCTTTTGAAATAAACAAAGAAAAAAGAAGAAAGTTTATAATTACTAGTTTGCTTTTATCTTTTGGAATAATCAAAGTTTAATTGTTCTCATGCCTCCTAGAATATTAGATGTTCTCGTTTGTTTTTCATACATAGCTACAGGATGATTTAATAAGAAAAAAGCTAGCTGGTAGTTAAACAAAATTATATAGTTGAAACAAACATGTGATGTGCTATTTAGCTAGATATTTGAGGATTCCATTCAAAAAAAATTAAATCTTACAATAAGTCGTTCTTTCTTAACTTTATATATTACTCATTTATTATGTATTTCTTCACTATATGGAATAAGTTTTATTTTTTCTCCCCAAGTTTATTTCGTACAAAGTTACATCTTGCTTTATATTTATTTCTTCTCTTCTGCAACATAATCTGGCCTTTTTGTTCTCTAGATTCATCCTGATGAACTACAGGTCAGTGCCCTGATTGCTTCCTTGTCTCTCGATGTATTTTATGTAATTATTGATTGCACTTTCTCTAGCAGGATTTGGTTTACTCTATAGCATGCATTTTGATCTTCCTCCGGTACTCAAATAATACAACTCCATATGTCACTTCAAGAACTCAAATAAAATGATCACTTCATATTTGTTTATTTGTAAAAACCAAAATAAATTAATGATGAATTAACTACAGCAGCTCAATCACAATCTGTTTTAGTTTTCAATCTCCGTATCTTTAAGAGATTGCCCTAGAGAATTCAAAAATCTTATAACTACTTTATTAGTTATAACTTATGAAATCCAATTTGAATTAACTAATATATATAACATTAGATTATTAAAAAAGTCAAACGATTTAGAAAAAATCCTCAAACTCAAGTTTTTTGACAAACTTTGAAAAATGAATTGTAATTAAAGAAAGGTGTTAGAAAATTTATCTCATAATAAATAAATAAATAAGTAATATATAAAATTAAAAACGAGTAATCTACTACAAAACTTTGGTGAGCAGGTCAAATCTGCTTAAATTATGTGTTTTGTTTTATCAACTTTTTAGGAGATTGATCGAGCGGGCATATATTTGGTTCTATTATTTTCTTAATATTTAACAATATTGATTTGAATTGCGGGCGCTAGCCATGCAGGTCCAACTTGAAAAGACAAAGAAACAAAAGGTTAATTGTTTGTGTCAAATTGAGTAGTATTTTATGTGATTACTTATTAACATTTCTCTAAACAGAATATATAGGACGAGGGAAAACATGGAGGAAGAGGCTAAACAATGTGTTTTATTTCTTCACAAATCTGAGCAAAGCCCATGCCCAGTGTTCCGTTGCATTTTAGGGTTCTATTAAAGCCCAAAAACTAGTGGGCTTAAAACAAGATGTCAGAAATTTTGATCACTGGGTTTATAAGTTCCTAAGTTTGAAGAAAGAGGCCCTTTCATTTTGGCAAAGTTTAAGAAACATCAATGAAGTTTTAATAACACAATAAAGAGCCTCTAAATACAATTCTTTTTTTTTTTTCTTTTTTAAGAAGAATTATAGAAATGAAGAATTCATCTTAACTTCATTTTTCTCTCACTTAAATCAAGCTTCTCCTCATATGATCTCACACCCTCCATCTTCAACATCTCCAGCAAGAAATCATTCCACGCATCAATCGGTCCAGGCAAGCACCAATGCACGCAGTCATTATACAATGTCACGTTTTCATGAGGCCAATGCCCATACCTACTAGGGTGACCATCTGGCCTCAACAACATAGCTTGTGTAGTGTCCAATAACCTAAATTTCAAGCCCCTCTTTTTTCCTTCCTTCTCTGCAAGCTTAAACTCCTCCAATTGTGTCATGTAAAGCTCAAAATTTACACCCTCCAAACTTGTCTCATTGCTTCTAAAAGGCCTTCTTCTCACGCAATCACCACCGTTATCCCATTCCCCATTTTCAAAGTGCGGTGGTGCAAATGTCCTCAAAAATGTTATACCCTTGTAATTTTCTAAGCTATTAATAGCTCTAAAAGCTGTCCTAAATGCCTTTCTATACCCAAAATACATAGGCAAGTCTGTCACATTTTCTAGGAGGCAAAATCGACAACCAACTACTTGGCGATTTTCATAGTAAACACATGGACGATAGAACCAATGGCCTGCATTGATGATCACATAATCAAATTCCTCTATCTGGGATGTCCATCCTTCATCAAATTCATCAAGGTAGAGATTGAAGAGGCCAGTTTGAGTAGGTCCATTGGCATCTGCTTCTTCAGCCTTAACCAAATGGGGTGTCCAAAATGTTGCAAGGGTGAAATTGTATGATGGGTACCTCCAACGTTTGAAATAGTCATCTGGTGTATATGAAACATCAATGGGATATTCCACCTGAAATAATTAGAGTAAATACCATCAAATAATTAAGGAAAAAGAATATATTGCTTCTAATTAAGCATGAGATAGCCATACATAAGGTCTCAAAATCAAGTATTAAGTGTGCTGGACCCCTTAAGCCAAAATTATTGGACCAATCTTCATGCAACATTCCACATAGTTTTTTTAAATGAGATATAATAGCATATCATTATGGTGGTTGGGAAGTTTAATAGCCACTAGATAGATTATCCATATAATTAAGAATTTATTTTAATTTATTTTGAAAATGATCCAATAGACCCACATTGATGATCTATCTAACATTGCAAGGAGTTTGTCAATACCAAGTCAAATTTGGATTTATATTTTAGTAGATCTCGGGATTAAAAATTTAGACTAATCCATCGTTATTCGATCGTATACACAAGAAAAATATAACTATTTAAATATTTTTTTATATATTCAAAAACTCGAAATCGAAATTACTTGTTTAAGTGATTAGAGTTTTTCTTCTCAAGTCAATTCTCTTGGATGAGTAGATTTATTTTGAGTGTAAGAACATGATTTAGCAAGACTAATCATGCACATCTCTTCATGCAAATTGGTTAGATGTCAAGTTAAACAATGTGATATGACATGAACCAATTAGCTAGAAGTTTAACAAAAATAAGCGAGTCTTTAGTGATTTTTAATTTCTTGAATAGAAAGAGAGAGACCTCTTGCTAAGCTCTTTCTTTTTTCTTTTTTTTTTTTTGTCTAATAATATGACAAATCTGAAATTATTAATTTTTTTTATTCAATAAAGAATAATATTTATCAAATATTTGAGCTATACAATATAACCCTTCTGGAAAAAGAAAATTCCTTTTATAAGTAACTTTATCAATTAATTAATTGATAACACCACAACTTAATTATTTCATAAATGTAACAATAATCCTTCATCAAGACACGTAAAGTTGGGCTTCTCTTTACCCTTTGCTAATTATTTGAAAGATGCCATTAGAGGAGTAGGAACCCACATTACTAAACGGGAAAACAAATTGAAACAAGAATATTCCACAATGCGAGATAAGAGAAAAAAACAAGCACACGCGCGCACGCACACACACATTCATACATACATTTTGTATATCTTAAACATATATATATATATATATATATATATATATATATATGTTTAAGATATACAAAATCTGTCTACGTACCTAGACTTCTTCTTTTCAACACATCATGCCATCCATCCCACTTTGCATTTTTTTTGTTGATTCTATATTATAATTAGTTGGTGGTCACTTTCATGGCTAAAACTGGCAAAAAGACAGCTTTTTGTAGGCAAATTATTTTTCTTTTGCCTTAAGGTTCCGAGGGTGAGAGTATATATAGCTAACTTAAAAATCTCTTCTTTCTCCCTTTTTGTAGGCTAGCTGATTACTTAATTAATTCCCATTGGTAGTATATATGGAGTATTGTTTAGCAATCTGGTTTCAGATTTTTTTTTTTTAATAAGTTTAAAATAAAATGAAACTCCCATCATGACCTTTAGTTTGTTTTTTGAGACAATCTAATCCTTAATTTGTTAATTTACGTAGTAGTGCTATCCATGCCACGCATTAGGTTGTCAAGAGATGTGATATGTTGGGGTCTGTAGGCATCTTTTACCAAATCTTTGTTACAATATCATGCCTTAGGTGAACTAACTTGTTGGCAATCGAAAATTCAAACCTGATTAGTTAAACTGAACTACATGAGCTGTCTCCATTTTTTTTTTTTTAATTGACAACATGAATCAAATCAAATGTACGTACGTAGCTTCTTCTTTTTCTTCTTCTTTTTTGCCTTTAAATCACCGCAAACTTTACTTTCGGGGAAATGTGATTCTTTTTGCTAATTAATTAATTAATCTGCCCACAATTAATTTAAGCACAATGCGAGTTTAATAAATGGAATAACATGGGAAAACAGTAGTCAGTTCTAAGCTAGATTGATGATAACACTCCATCAATATACAATGACATTCCACTAATAAATTAGGTATTAGCCAACGTGGAGTGTTATTATAAATTGATGGAGTACCATATTTATATTAATGCTCCGTAACTTATTGTTAATTACAGTGATTATCATTTGAATTCTACTGAAATTGGAGATAAATTTTCTGTTAAAAAAAAACAGAGAAATTTCATATACTTGAAACCAAAAATCAGAATAAGAAAACAGATTATGAAAGCTCAACATAATATTTAATTGCAGTATAGTATAAATAAACATGTAGATAAGATGAGGCTTACCCTAGATAGAAGGCAGATTAAGGACTGCATTTGGTTTCTACCCACAGAGTCTCCAACAAACGCCATGGACTTGCCTCTAACAATTTCAAGGAACTGAGCTGGGTTAAAAATAGGCAGCTCACATCCATCTGGTTGCCATCTCCATTTCATGAACCCTGTATCGGGTCTTCCATATTTCATGCAATTTTGATGCTCGTGTATTGCCCAACATGTTGTGTTTGTGTAATATGGGGCATTAGGATTTGGTATCCATTCTCCAGTGAATATGTCACATTTCTGCTCACTTGCATGCACATACAAGGATCCATATTCCACAGAAACATAAGATGATGCCGATATTGAGATTTGTGACTTCGAAATATTTTTCAATAAATATAAAGGGTACCCTAGCAAAGGGTAACATAGAGGAAAAATTGTGAAAAGAACAAGAGCAAGGGTTACCATCAGGACTATCATTGGTGTATTCTTTCGCAGAGCATGGTGCTTGCTGCCAAAGGGAAGCTCCAAGCCATAAATCTTCATTTTAGAGAGCAAAGAGAGAGGGAGGGAGGAAGAGGGAGGCAACGAGATTGCTTGCTCACCTATTTATCAATCAATGTGTCTAGTTTAAAGTTTAAACAAGTACGTACAGCTATGAATCTTCTTAATTTAAATTAATTTATTAATTAAGTAGGGTACCTACGTAATGCAAATTACATTTTTTAATCATTGGGAGTATCTTACAATATGACATGCAAGTATTTTAGAGGAAAAATGAGAAATTAATAAGTAATTAAATAGATGCATCTCTAGGTAATTTTATTTTGTATAATTTATATGCCGGTTTGACCTTTTTATTAAAGTGATAGTTAATTAAAGGGAAGTGCCCGTTCTAATTAGCTAGCTAGTGAAGAAAAAATTAAAGTGAAATTCTTATAAATTTTGTAATTTCAATATGAATGACATATCTTTGATCAGACAGAAAAGATATATAATCAAACGCAATCTTGGTATAAAAAATTAACTAAAAAAATAAAATGTAGCAATGAAAAAAAAAAGCCTCTTAATTTGTTTTAATTTACAATGGGAATGAGCAATAGGTAAAAGTAAAACACCTTCTGGATCAAATTAAATTCAAGTCCACTGCATTATGTTGTAGCCTAACTCCATAATTACCAAATTATTATGACCTGATAAATAAATATATATAGCTGGTGGTGGGTCTTTTTGAATTATTTGACTTTTTTGTGTTATTTCTTAGGGGGATCAATAAAATGTTGAATCTGAAGTTTGATGTGAGTAAGGAAGTGACAGCAAATTGAAGAGTTAAAAAAGTTGAAGAGAGGTCCCTAAACATTACCGAATACTAACTAATAAGGGCTTTGTTTATTTCAAAAAGTAATGACTAGCTAGCCAGGTAGGGCAGTTCAAACTAAAAGGAAAAAGTTGGTAGAGAAGTAATATTTTATCCTCATATAATCATGAAAAAAAAAATTGAAATTATTAGATCTCGAATTTTATTTTATTAAAAAAATTATCTAAATATACAACTACTAAACTTCCTTTGTTTGAAAAAGAAAGTGTGTGATTATGTACATATGTTGGGCTGTCTTTTCATTCATGAGAACTAAAATCCCAATTTTTTAATATATATATATATATATATATATCCTAGAAACAGTATACGTACTTCCTTAAGATTGGATGTTATCTGCCATTATGTTGCACATAAATTGAAGAATACTCCATCCCCTGTACATAAATTGAAGAGTGCAAGTATACTCTCCATTCATTGTACATAAATTGAAGAATCCTAGCAACAATCTATGATAGTGTTAAAATTAACCCTTAATTATTTTAGTTGTATTCTTCTATAATACTCATTATTAAATATTACAGTTGATATAAAAGTAATTTAAATTGGTTAATAAGTTGGAATTCCGGAGGATCTCTACATTTAGGAGGTAAGCTTTTTCATATTAAGATTTAGGAGTCATTAAGTGTGGAACAAAGATTATTTTAAAATGATTATGAACTAAATTAATTAATTTTATAAGATGATTTATACTTGATTACTAGTTTTAATAGTTTCATGTTATAAATTATAAAAGAAACTTGTCAATCCAAATGATTAGGAGGAAAAATATTGATTGAATGAGAGAAATGCTGTAATAATTAATAATTTTATGGGAGTATAATAGTAAAATCTTTTTAAAGGAAATTTTAATGACATAGAGAAAAATATAACGTAATAATAATTAACTAGTTATATAAATAAGAAAATGAAGTTGTACCGTTAAGATAGAAGTGCACGATTATATATTTGCATTTTAGTTACGATATTTGAAGTATAAAGATTGATTTAACACACATGAATGTTTAATTGATTATCATTTCAATATCAATTATAAAAAAAATTATTAAAACTTGATATATATATATATATATATAGGATGTGATATGTGCTAAGAGGTTGTTTTAATTTTGTGAAAAATAATATTCAATTTTCACCATTTATGATCACTATTCACAAATTAATTATAATTGTTTTTTAATAATATCAAATTTACATTGATTTGATTTTTTTAAAAAAAATTTAGTAATCAACTTTGCACTAACATGATTTAAAAATAAATAAATTTAATTTTGATTGATAAAAAAATCAACCCAAAAATATTTTATTACTATTACCGTTATGCATGTAGCGAGAGAAAAAAAATTGATATATACGTAACTTCAAAATGGATACCAGCCTGGTTTTGAGCATCATCGAAAATCCTATGCCTTTAATGCTAAGTTGGAAGGATATGGCACTTGTAGCATTGGCATGTGGAAGAAAAATGGAAGGGTGGGAAGGGGCCAAATTTAAGTTAATGGACTGTGCGATTAGGTAATTTATGCTACCGGCTCCGGTCGGTGATAGTTATTTCCATTCCTTTAATTAATTGTGTTAGGTATCAATCTAATTATTATAGACTGCTAATTCCTTTCACTTTTGATTGTGTGAAGGGGGATTAAGGAAGAATAATTAAATTTAACAAGAAACATTAGGTGAGTACATATGCGCACTCTTGTGTGCAACTGTACTTGTTAAGAGCATGCAAATTTTATTTTTATTATTGTAAGAGTTATCTTTATATCGGTTTGTATAGCAACCGAAACTAAATATCTAAAATACATATTTTTAATATGTGGTTTTAAAATATACATGTGTTTAATTTAGTCTTCAATTTGAATATTGTTGTTAGTGCTCGAAGAGACAATAAGCACTAATGAATCCTAAAAACTCGAACAATAATTAAAAGACGTGTGACTTTTGATAGCTAATGATGGGCGATAGAGATTTATTGTTCTTGATAATTTCGTTAGTGATAGGAGAGATGAGTGACTTAGCTAGGTTTTTAGTGTATCTATGTGTGAGTGAGAGAGATAATAAATAATATATTAGGTAAAGAAACGTCAATAATACAGATGAAACTTCTTTACCCTTATTTGAACAATCAAATAAAGACTACAAATAAATATCTAAAACAAAATAAGTAACTAATAATCTGAAAAACGAATATCAATCTCACAGAGAATATATGAATTTTATGTGAAAAACCAACTTAATTTGATAAGGAAAAACCACAAAACCGGAGTCCACAAAGACTTCCACTATCTACAATAATAAATAATACGAGTCATTTCTAAATTAAACTAGAGGAATACATCAGCCACAAGCATTAAAGGTTGTACACCATTAATAAACCTCATCAATAAATGATACATAAAGAAAAGAGAATAAACCCGAGTTCGATTTTATCGAGAAAATTACACTATTGTGAGCATCATACCTCGCTTTTTGGAACTCAAAACTTCTCCACCATTCCCAATGTGCCTATGTCTCTCTAGAATGTTCCCATCAAATTTGAGCTTGATTAAATGGTTAATGAAGTCGAAAACTCAATTTTATTATGATTGGTCCGTACTTGAAACTTTTTTTCTCTTTTTTTTTCTCTAAAGTTGTGGCTCTCTTTCCTTTTCTTTTCTTGTTCTCTCTCTACTTTCTTCTATGATCTTAGAATTAAAGAATAGAGAGGGGTTAGTAAAAAATATCCAAATTACCCTTCAAGATATTGAAAAATCCTCCTCTACATGAGCTTTAAGATTGGACTCATGTAAGCAAACATTTGGACCATCCTCCAATTAGCAGGAAAACCCAACATAGTATAGTATTTTAAAGAACACAAGATTAGGATCCTAAAACCCTTTGTAATTAGAGTTTTTATATATAGACAAAATTTACATCAAATTGCATAGAGGAAGGGATAAAACGATGTTGTTGATCTTTTATAATGTCATGTTGGAGGATCTATGTCCTTTGGAGTAACTTATTCGTCATTTAGCAATGACTGTAATGATGTGTGTGGTGTTGATGTGATAAGAAAGTGTTTCTAGAATGTGTTTTCATTTAATGAGGGTTCTTCTAGTCTCCTTTGTGGTTGTAAGTTGTCATCTCTCGATTGTAGGCAAAGAGACGAGTTTAACTGTTCATCTGAAAATTTCTTGGATGTGAAGAATCTTTCGACCTTCATTTTTTATGATGTGTCCTTTTGGCGAGTTTTACTTTGTATCACGTTCTTATTTGATTTTATTGTTTTTCTTAGGTACATCGGGTATAATCGCCCCTCTTCTCATTCTACTCGTACAAGACATGCCGGACATTCTAAGTTCTAGAATTGGGTTAGATAGAACCATACCAAGTCAACTGGATTTAGGTAATTTGTCCGTTTGGTGTATTAAAAAGAATTTAATAATTTTTAGATGTATTAAGGTTCGAATTCAAAAAAATCAAGAAATTAAGTATATTTTCTTAATCATCCGGCCAATCATCGAGGTTAGAGCATAAAAATTTTTAAGTATTAATAATTGTTATGAATTTTTTTATTAACAATAAGAATATTTTCAAATTCATTTTTGTGTCACTAGCTCTCTTTTTTATTGGATCTTAAATGAAACTATTTAAATTCTAATTGGTACATGGACTCATTAGAAATTGTTTCAATTCTAGTCGCATATCCTTGAATTCAAGCTTGTTTATATGAATATTACTTCCGTGGTGGTTTTCTTAATCTAATATTTAATCCATAAGTAACCTATTTAAGGGCATTGTGGTTTTTTTTTTATAAGAAAAGAGATGTATCTTTTTTTAATTCAACTAAAGGTACATTATATCTTTATTTACATATAGATAACAAATAACATAATGGAAAGAAAGTATTCCATAAGAAATTTTAAAATATTCTAGAAATAACTATTATATATTTATAATAGTTACTTCATAAATTTACTTTTGAGGAGAGACATTAAAAATAAATAAATAAAACATTTTGATCCATCCAAAGTAATAAAAATATTTTTAGCCAAATATTTTTATTTCTTTTTTAATGTGATAATTACTCGTAAAGTAATATAAAATTCCTCGACTAGCATGATGACAAATGACATTAGCAATTGTTTCAGTACCCAAGCCAATGCTGTAACACCAAGGATATGGATATGATTCAAAATGGAGTCCATCCTTTGCATAGAAAAATAATAATGGGTAACAAATAATTGTGGGTATAGGCAAATTTTGTACACAACTATAAGTATTACATACACAAAATCTGTCTCTATACAGATCATGTCAGTAGTTGATATTACATGCAAATCATACTTAATCTGCACTCCATACTAATTCAACAAATTTAGTTGGGTTTTCATTATCATAATCACTGCGATCTTCGTCGGCCGATTATCAAGTCTGTCTAATGTCCAGTTCTATCTGTTAGGCTGTCAACTTAACAAAGAAAATGAAGAGAATCTCAAATCTTACGTAAATTCATCACATCATAATTATATTTCTTTTCTTTTTTTTTCTGATAGGGTTTGTTTTATGCTTGTGGCCATGACTACTTTACATATCTTGATTTCTCTAATTGGGATGCTCCTTGTCATTTCTAATAATTATCAATTATTTGATGCTACAATCAAACAATTGATAATTATTGAAGGTGACGCCAAATCCCTAATTGATGTTTTCAAACTCCCACGTATTAATTCAATAACAGTGAATTTTATTCCATCGTTTAACAGGCTATTAGAAGAATTATTTCTCAATCATTAGTTGCTTTTGTTTTTTGTTATTTGTGCTTATAATTGAGCTGCTTATAATATAGCAATAAAAATTCTTAAGAATTGTCATTCATGCGAAAATTCTGTTGCTTTTCTTAGTTGGATCTCTGATTATTTAAAAGATCACAGCTCTTTTACTTAATATATGAGATGGAACTATCTTTGGCAAAAAAAAAAAAAAAAAAATTCTTAATCTTGTTAGAGAATAATACAAATCATATCTTGAGGTCTTACTTAATAGCTTAAGTTTTTGGATAACATGGTCTTTTGACATGGTATTAGAGCCTTGATGACCAAACGGTTACGAGTTCGATCCTACCACTTTTACTTTCTCTTTTAATTAATTAAGTACAAGGTAGTGTGATCCTATGCAAGTTTCAAATCTAAAAGGTTTTCACTTGAAGGGGTATGTTAAAAAATAATATAAATCATGTTTTGAGACCTTAAGAGGGTATGAGTTCAAATCCTATTATTCTCACTTTCTCTTCTAATTAATTAAGCACAAGGTAATGTGAGTCCGTGTAAGTTTCAAGTTTAAAAGACTTTTACTTAAGAAGGTGCTTTAGAAAATAATAGAAATCATGTCTTGAGACTTTATTTAATAGCTGAAGCTTTTAGATGGGATAAATTTTACATTGAATGTAATTATGAAACTGAAATTAGAGATTTTGTCTATGAAATAAGATATCATTACAGGCCTGGTTTTGTTATTTGTCAAATGGGCCTATCTTATTAGCTTTTATTCATTTTATAATCTTGGACTTGACCCATAATCAGTAATTTGGTTTTTGTAGATTTTTAAACTTAATAAAAAAGTCCTCAATGCACATCACATCACTGCAGAATTAGCTCCAGGAAAACATAATATTAAATTTTTCAAAAGCCGAACATTTAGGTTAGCATTGCATCTTGGGCTCTAAGGGTTAGATTGCCAAAATTAGGTCTAACGATAATGACGATCCAAATTCAAGGCTTAAACTGTGAGATAATAATAATAATAGGGTCTGGGTTTCCCTATTATTGCTGCCAATCCAAGTACCACAACAATACAATTCAGTTCATTGGACTGATCTTCTAAAATGTCCTTTGTCGTTGAATTCAAAAGAATCCCTCGAGTTGTCCTTAACATGGGGTTGTTTTGCAATATTTCCAATAACTCTTGTTGTCATGTTAGCCTGCCTTTGTGTGTGGATAGAGCATCCTGTGACTATTGACAAGAAAAGGAACATAAGGATTGCATTATTGTTGCCGAGAAAAGCTCAAATCATTTCTATCACTTCAGATGGAAAGTATTGGAAATTTGGGGCATTGATCTTCCCCAAAATTCCAACAAAATAGGCATTTTTTTCTCACTCGTATGTCTAGTCTCTGTTGTAGGAATTAGTGGCCTTTTGATCAATTTTTCTTGGAGGAAAGAAACCTATGAGAATATTCCACCTTTAGCCTCTACGTATGGTCCTCTTCAAGAGGAAAGAGAATTGCTAAAAATCGCAAATTTGGAAAGTAATTTGAGAAGAAATGGATGGAGAGGAGCTGTCAAGAAAGTTGAGGTTCCTTGCGGTACTCAATCTGGACCACCATTAAGAGCTATTCCAAAGAGCCAATTCAGTTTCCGTATCTTTCATACTTTAGAAATTAGAATGCCCAAAGAAACACGCATCATTGCAAGGCAAAATTTTGGTGGAAGATAATATTGTGCTGTGTAGTTAGCAGAGTTATCAGCTACTTCTTTCTTCTTCTTTTTTAATGATCCTTATACTTTCAGATAAAAGAATTGTAAGAAATGAGGCATTTGCGAATTACTGAAGACAAGATCCAGATCCAGAGCAATATCTGAACCTGCCATGATACAAGCAAACTTTAACTTCAAGTAATGCCTCCGATTTCCACGGCAAAATTCTAGCAACATCCGAAAATGATATAACATCAACTTTACAGCTGAAACATTCTTCAAGTAGGCCGTTGGCTATATAATTCCCTAGTCCTGATGACCCACTTTTAATGTACAACTGAAGCAATTTCAGTAACTGTGACCATAACTTCAGTGGCTGATACCAATAACTAAAAAGTTAATAATTGTCACTCAAAAATTGATTTATGAGTCACATGCAGGCCAACAATTGACTCACCAGACAGAGCTAAATATGGATATTTAATCTTTAAACACAAACATCAGTACTGAAATACAGAAAAAGTCCTAAACATAATAGAAGAAAAAGTGAAGCAACTAAATTGAGAACAAGCAGAGAAGTCCGGTAATAAAATTGCTTATGCAGCAGCACCCTTGCCCTTCTTCCTCTGGATCTTCTTCATATAAAATTCAAGTTCCTTGCCTTCCAATATGTATCTGTTGGGAAAAAGAGCAGTTGGAGATGAAATAAGTTCACATTGAAAAGCCTATTTATTATCAAGTATAAATTTAATTCTTATTAACTCACCCGTCTGCTCTGCCACATTGACCAGGTCGGGAAGAGATGGAAGCCAACAACCTCCCACTTCCAAACTGCTCTTCAATGTGAGAATCTAGCTTGCGATCCTGTTGACGCTTCTCAAGCTTCCTGAGGACATGGTTACTCTTCTTTGTTTCTTCTGTAGTTGCTTCTCCCTCCTGCTGATACAAAGGACAAAACATTTTAACTAAGAATACCACATAAAGAAGCTAAAAGATATTAATATGTCAGACCAAGTGCCATCCACAAACAAGGAGAAGATAGTAGAGCAAATTACCAAGAAAAAACAATAATTAAAAATATAGTCTGGTTCATTTTCTTGTAGGCAACATGAGCACACTAACGATACAAGCACACAAATGTGTCAGGGCAAAACAATTTCTATAACCAGTTCTGCTACTCTTCAGTCAAAAAAAAAAGAAATGCAATTTTGCTGTATTCCACATACAAACAAAATGATCTGCAGCATTCAATATTTTTTTATTGAAATTATGTCAAAGAACAATTTATTGACGAGAAACTAATGACCATTTGGTGCACCCAAATATACGGGAAGCATACAAGAGAAGAAAAACATTACAAATGAAGAACTCATATCCTTGAATGTTATATATACATATATATAACATCATATTAGTGGAGGAAAATCAAAAGAAAATCTTAATCTGGAGAATTAATGAATAACTGTCCAAACTACTGGATAGAACATTGAGAAGATCTATTACCCCCAATCATTACTGATGAGTCAAAGTCACTGAATCAAATTCATCCCCCACAAAAATTTTAAGGCTTTATAGCAGCAGCAACAACATTGGAGTTAAGAGTTCATATAGACTCCATAACGCTAGAAAGCAGATCAACTTCTCTTATCCTAATTGTAAACGATGTTGCCAATTTAGCAGATGTGAGATTCTTAACAGTTAGAAAAAGCATGTTAACAATAATCATGGACATCTAACAAACATCCTCAATATGAAATCAAAATCAAACATAAAAACAATCATTATCTCAGTAAAGCATAGACAATACCTCCGGGGTATCCTTCTTCACCGCTGCCTTCTTCTTCCTACCAATATCAACCCCATAATGTTGAAGGTACCATTGCTTGAACGGGGCAGCATCCACCTGAACAATAGCACTTTTCACCAGAGTCTGTGTTCGGACAAGCTCATTGTTTGAGGCATTGTAAACCACATCAAGAATACGGGTTTTGCGAGTGACAGCTTCACTGCCCCAGGAGTAGTTCCCAGTATCCAATCTAAGAGCCCTCCACTTCACATTGCCTCCTCTCACACGAATTCTTCTAACAGTCTTGTTGCTTGAAAGCTTAGTATTTGCAGGCTGACGGCCAAGCTCATACCTACATACATCAACCGAATGATTACAACATAGAAATCGGCATTAAGAATATGATACTAATATAAAACATAAATAGCATCTGCCACTATCTCTCTGATTATGATTCGGCATTAATAGGTTCAGAATTCGTAGGTCTGATACAAATAACAATTGATTCTCCTTCTTTTCTCCCTTTAAAAAAATTCCTTTATAATAGAAAGATTAATTCCCACTTTTTATTTCCTCCCAAATTTCTACCAAACAGATGATAAGAAATAACAAAAATAAAAAATTATTGAAAAGAAAATCAAGGAAATTTAAATGACGTACTTTCTCTTCTTTCTCCAGGCTTTCTTCTTGCCTCCAGTGGCACGCCTCTTGTGCATGGAGTCACGTGAGATACCTTCAAAGACATAGACATTATTTTACAGAACAGAACAGAAGATAAGACATAGAAACAGAGAAAGAACAAGAGATTGAGTGCGTGGGTTGTTGGCGTTACCCATGGTTGCAGTTCTGTTACGGTTCCAGAGACGACTGATCTATCTGCTCCTGATCGCCTCCAACGCCTTCTGCTCTTATTACTAAACCTAAACCCTACTTGTCCATAACATGGGCTCTTTTGTCATTTTACAATCCCCCATCTCGCTGTTTCAATTTGAGCAAATTTCAATTTGCCCCTCTAGGTTTACATATTGTCTCAATTTCACTTAAAAAACTTTTGATTGTTTTCCAATTACCCTATATATATTATTGTTATTACAATCAGTCCTTAAATCCTTCTTTTTCTGTTTTTTCCCTCTGATTCCCCCTCTTAATTGAACAAAAATGTGTGCAAATTTTAATTTTATCTCTAAAATTTATAAAATGCATCAAAGTTACTCAAAAAGTAAATAAAAAATAAACAAACTAAAATTAACAAAAATAAGAACAAAAAATCAATTGAAAACGACTTTGTTGTTAGCAAAAGTATCAAATACATCCCGTGTCTCTATACTATAAAGAAAATATCGTCGCAACCCTTCTATATAGATATAATTCATTAAAAATCTTATACTGTTAGACGTTGATGCGAAATGCATCTTTCATTAATTTTTTTCTCAGATTAATTAATTTTTATTAGTTGACTAACATCCAACTAATCAAGTGGCATTTAACGATAAATTAAAATTTTCTTTTAAAATAAGTTTCTTATTCCAATTTTTTTCTAAAGTTAAAAGAAGTAATAATTATTATGAAATCATTAAAAATTAAAAAAAAACAAATGTAAAGAAAATTTGTAAAATAATCAGAATTTTATTTAATTACTAAAGAATTTATAAATAATTATTATTAATGAAATTTTGAAAAAAAAATCTCACGAAATTTTTAATAATTGTTAATAAAGAAAAATTTTAAAAAAAAATTCTCAAGAAATGTTTTTTAAATGAAAATAATAATAATAATAATAATAATAATAATAATAATAATAATAATAATACATTTTTATTAAAATAATTAATAATCATTATAAAATCAGTTAAAAAATCTTAAGAAAATTTTTTTAAACAAAAAAAAAAGAAAAAAAGAAAAAATTAATTATCAAAATTTTTTATTAAAATAATTAATAATCATTAAAAATTTCTTTAGACTTTTAAATATTATATTAATAATTATTTTAAATATTAAAAATAAAAAATAATACTTATTAGAAAATAATTAAAAACTGAAAAAAATTTCTTTACATATGTTTTTTAATATTTTCTTTAATAATTATTATTATAAAATCATTAAAAAAATGAAAAAATGTGTTTAGATTTCTTTCCAATTTTAATAATTTTATAATAATTATATTTTGACTTTGAAAAAAAAATGAAAAAACTTATTTTAAAAGAAAAATATATTTTTTACTTTTAAATTGACACATGTCATAACTTGATTCGGAAAACGTTAATCAAATAATAGAAAATGATCAATCTAATGAAAAAAAATTAACGAATGAGTTGTTTTGTGGCAACGTCTAATAAAAAGGTTTATTATTAACTATATCTAAGTAGAGGAATTGTAATGATATTTTTTATACACTATAAGGGCACAAAGTGTATTTAATCTTTTAGTAAAACAAATATGATAAAACTTGAGATGGTTTTTTTTTTTTCTAGAAATACCTCAATCCTACCAACTTTAATTCATTTAGCAATATTATTATTATCATTATTTGTAAATACTACAACTGAACAAACATCAAGATTCAAATAAATTTAACTCTAAGTCATGTTGAACTTGCTTTATCTTCATTTTACCATTCCAACCTTGTAGATTTTTTTTTTCTTTCTTGAATTTTTGTTCAATATTTTATAATAGATTTTGATAGAGAATTAGATAAAACATGTAGATATAATATGTTAATGAGCGAGTGTTTCAAAGTCAACAATAATAGTACTTGAGGTTGTTGTTAAGTTTTTTAATCATATTTGTTTTTATTTTAATCATATTCTTGTATATATTGTCAAGAGATTGGTAGATATATTGATCAATTTTTTTTTATCATATTTGTTTTACTGAAAAAATATCTTCTTTAATGAATTTTTAATTTTAGTTCATTCATTTTTACTTTCTATGTTATATTGAGATATTCAATTAACTTTGAAAAAAAAATTAAAATTTACGTATCTTTTCATTACTATTTACAACATAAATGAGCAAAAAAAGAAAGTTGAATAAATACAAAAAGATACATGGGCTAACTGAAACAAAACAAAGATTTTAGATGAAATTAAAAGAAGATATAAACCACAAGGGAGGCAAATTGAAATTTATCTTTTTTATTTTTATTTTTTTTAGCACCTCATTATATGTTTTATTTGTATTTCGTAAGGGCACTTTATTTTTCTAATTATTGTTTTAAGTTTTTTTATATGATTTAATCCATATATTTCATTTCTTTAATTGAAAAAAATTAATATTTTATTTATATGTTCTATTAAAATAATAAAAAAAGTCAAATTGTAATCCAAAATTTTAAATTTTTTCCTCATAAATAATTGAAACAATCATAAATAAATCTATTATTTTAATTTTTTTTTTGGAATTAAAATTTAAGAAAATTATAACATTTATACTTTTTCAATGAAAGAAACATAATTATGGAACATATTTATTAAAGTAAATAATATATAGTTGAACATATGTAATTTTATAAATTTTCATTAAAATAAAGAAACTTAATAATACCTCCAGTAAGGGTGAGCAAATGGTTTAGTTAATCAAAAATCGAATAAAATCGAACTGAATTATGAAATTTAGTTCGGTTTTGAACTTACAAACCGTACAATTTAAAACCGAACTGAAAAATTAAAATTATTTTGGTTCAGTTCAATTTTTTTAAAAAAATTTCGATTTCGATCGAAAATCGAAATAAATAGAAAAAAAATCCTAATATAATTCTAAATCCCTAACTAGCTAACTTCAATAGTTTAATTCTTCGATCTTTATTCTTCGCCGAAACACGTAGTCACATACCCAATTCTCCTTCGTCTTCCCTAACCTCCGGCTTCATTCCCTTCTTCTCCACTCTCTAAAGTCTAATCCTCCTCCGAGATCCAGTTCTCCTCTAAATTCCAATCTCACCAGTCACCACCCACTATTTGCTCACCCCTCACAACCCACCTCTCTGTCATCTTCCTTCGAACATAAGGTCATCGGTCATCACTCATCAATCACCACCATCCTCCTCCAACTCGGGTGGCCTCGACTACTATTCATCTCTTCCTATACTCGTGACCTCTCCCAAGGTCAATCTCTTTTACTTTTTTTTTTTTTGGTTTTACTAATAACAATAATTAAATTAATTTTTTCTATAACAAAAACGACATAGATTATCAATAAGGTAAAATGGTTTTGGTAAACAAATTTTGGTACTAGTTGTTCATTGAACATCGGATGCATTGGGTAATTTTTTTTTTTTTTTTGAACGTTAGATGCATTGGGCAAGAATAGCAACTAGGATTTTAAATACAAATATAGAAGTGAAATTTTTTTTCCATCATCATACCATTGTAGTGGTAAGAGCATTAAGGTTGTGGCGTCTATTAAGGATTACGAGTTCTTGAATTTGTTCCTTGTTCAACCGAGTACTGAAAGAACAATGAGAAGTCACCTAATTAAAATGCATCATGTGAACATACGTCTAGGCATTAATAGAGCTGTAATTCTTGAAAAGTCACCGAGTTGTCTAGATCTTCACAACTACTTGTAGCATTCTTGAGTGATGAGGAAACACTACAAAAAAACAAAGGATTTGTGACGAAAAATTAGCGACGAGTCTCAAAATCATCGCTAATTTATTAAAATTGCGACGGTTTGAAGCCCTTTAGCGAGAGAAATTAGAGACAATTTTTTGCAAAAAAATCGTTGCTAATCACGAAAATTAGCAACGGTTTTTTACGACGGCTTTTTCCAAAAAAAATCGTCGCTAATTTCATTATTTTTTTTAAAATTTTCTCGCAATCATTTTTTGCAATGATTTTTGTAAAAAAGCTGTTGCTAATCATGGAAATTAGCAACGGTTTTTGCGACGGTTTCCTCCAAAAAAAACCCTTGCTAATTTCATTTTTTTAAAAAAAAATTATTACTTTCAGCCTTTTTTGCGATGGTTTTTTTACCAAAAAACATCGCAAAATTAGTAAATTAGCGACGGTCTAAAAACCGTCGCTAAACCATTGCTAATTAAGAGGAAAATGGTTATTTTTTAAAAAAATTTTAGACATTTGGCGATGGTTTTTAGACCGTCACTAAAACTTTCAACCTCCTATATAACAATTTGTAAGAAACAATTTCTTCTCTCTTTTCTTGTTCTTCCTCTCCAGTGCCGATCTCCCTTCCATTTCCATTAAATCCTCCCCCTCTCTTTTTTATTTTCCTTCCAATCTCCTCCTCTCTCTCCTCCTTCCCTTTCTCCCTCCATCTCTCCCCCTTTCTTCCTCATTTTCCTCTTTCTTTCTTCCTTTCTCCCCCTTCCTCAACCGGCCATTTTTCGACCAAAATAGTCCGATGAAGCCTCTCCACCGGCGCAACCCACTCTCCTCCTTGTGTTGGGGAAAGGTCCTCCCTCATCTAACCTCTTAATTAATTTTTTAATTTTTTTCAATTATTTACTTAATTTAATTTAAATTTTTTTTGTTATTGTTAATTGTTAAGAAATTTTAATTTTTATTAATTGTTTAATTATTAATCTTATTGTTAAGGAAATTTTATTGTTATTAATTTTTGTTGTTAATTTAATTGTTAATTGTTATTATTAATTGTTAATTTACTTAGTTTATTGTTAAATGTTATTTATTAATTTAGTTAGTTTAATTGATGGTATTTTGGAAAGTTAATTATTTTAGAAAATTTTTAATAAGTTATTAGCAATTGGCCAATGTAAAATGAGGATAAAAAAAATAATAATATTTTAGACCATTGCTAAGACCGTCGCTAATTTTTTTTTACGACGGAATTAGCGATGGCCTAGACCGTTGCTAAT